ATATTCAGGGCATGTCACCTTGCGAAGCAGGCGTTTGATGAAGCTATATCTGAGCTTGACACTCTTAATGAGGAATCCTACAAAGATAGCACCTTAATTATGCAACTTCTTAGGGACAATCTGACCTTGTGGACTTCTGACATACCAGAAGAAGGAGGTAATGATCACTCTGGACCTAAGCAAACTCTTAATAGGTGTTCTAGTTTCTTTGTCATTTCTTTTTTTGTGGGGTTGTTTGATTAGAAAACGATGAAATTATAAGACATTTTAAGCATATCCATGGACATGAGATAGTTGAAATAGGATGATTCTCTGTATGATGATACATATTTTGCCTATATGTGCAGGAGATGATTCCCATAAGGCGAATGGTTCTGCTAAACACGGTGCAGGTGGAGACGATGCTGAGGTAAAGTAGAAGAGATTCTTTTCCTTGGGGTGAATCGAATAAGTCGATTCTGATACAAAGATCTTCTTTGCTCTTGATGCAGTGATCTGATATGTGTGCACCCGCAGCCAGCGGCACTGGACAAACATGTTTCAAGAACAACTGAATGCGCGGTGAAAAATAATAGCGAAACGTAGAGTTCCTCTGTTTCATGTATCATTATTGTCTATGTTACTTGTACTCTGGTTAGTCCCAAATCTCTCTCCGGTTTGAATGTATTGTATCATCTGATGCATATCTCAGGACACTGTTATTTGTAATTTGTAATTCACTACTTGTCTTCTTCACCCATTGCTCTCCTCTCTTACTATTTGTCCCTATGGATAATGTATCCAACCTTATATCTCTTCATTTCTGCTTCTTTAGTGCTCTGATTAATGTTCTGTTTCTGATTGAATCAACCAACACTAAACAGAATATAAAACTGATAATGAAGCTTGGATTTTTTGAATCCTTCTGAACATTTACTCATTTAGTAAAATGGCCAAAGCAAACAGAGTCAAACTCCAAAAAAAAAATATGTAGGAGAAAGAAAAAAAAAAGAATGAATAATTTGTTGAATTTGACGGAATACTACAATAGCTCTTTTCCCATCTTTCATAAGATTTCTTTCTCAAGTCTTTAAATAGGCTCTTCGGATCGAATTATAAGGAAGTAGAGAATGATGATAGGCTTTTCAAATTATAAGAGGAAATGCTTTATACTGTCCTCTACAAACTGGTGGCTTGGACAAATCATCTCCTTCACTTTGTCTCCATTCTTGTATATCTTAAATGTCGGAACTTTCCTTATACTCTCTGCTTTCGCCAACGCCATGGTGTCCTCCACATCCACCTTAATAACATTTCATTTCTCGGTTAGAACATTGCGAGACATAGAGTTTAATAAGGATATAAAACTGTTTTTTGGAGGGAGTTTTTTACCTTGAAGAAATGTACTAATGGATACCGGATGCATAAAGTATTAACGAATGGAGAGATTTCTTCGCATTGTCGGTTTGATGATGATTTGAAATAAAACACAGAGACACCTGAAGAAAATGTTTCCACTTGAGCAAGACAGATACAAAATCTCAACCTTTCAGACAAATTGGAGTTTCTGTTTAAACTTACCGGGAAGTGATACTGCGCTCTTGAACTTATCCATAGTTGAAACCACTTCAACTTCGTTATTGAATCCTAAGCTTTTAGATTCTTGGCTTCTGTTTATCAGAGCAGTTTTCGCACTCTCTAGCGACTCTGCAACTTCGCTGTCTCCCGGAAGTTCCTTTCTCAAGAACTCATAATCTCTAACCGCATCTTCCCACCGACCAAGCTATAATTAAACACCCATTGTCATTCAAATACACTACGAAACTCGGTTAATAACTGTTTAAAGTTCTAGTATTACCTTTCCATATGAAGCAGCTCTTCGTAGAAGTGCCTTGATGTAATTCGGGTGGATTTTGAGCGCCTGGTTACAGTCTTCAACAGATTTCTCCCAAAAACCGAGTTTATACCAACACGCTGCTCTGTTGCAGTACAAAACCGAGTTGGAATCATCGCACTTGAGACCGTCTCCATAAGCTGCACTCGCTTCTGAGTATCTCCCCGAACTAAATAGCTCATTCCCACGAATACGTGCCCTCACAACCATCTTCACATTGTTCAAAACCGATACTACCTCGGGATTGGTCTGATCGAGCATAACAGCTCTCTCTGCCTTTACAACCGCATTCTCAAATCTGCAACAAACCTATCATCTCTACTCACTCACCGGGGAAGAAAATCAAACTAGMAACTAATAAAACAAGAAAGAACCAAAGAATCACAAGTTTTTCTCCAAGTTTCGAAAGCTCACCTTCCTAATGCCATGTCAACTTGAGCTTGGATACAGAGCACATAAGCTTCAGCTACCATACCAAAGAGTATAGCTTGCGGTTGAGAATGGGAATAATGATCCATTCTTGGAATGCAAGATATACAAAAGTCCGAATCCTCTATCTGATTAAGACGCAAAAAGGCTTCGGCTTTACAAGCTACAAGCTGCCCAAAATCAATAAAAGAAAACCTCAAATGTTAGCTAAATCTTTACAAGCAAATGCAAACAAAGCTGGCTTATCCTATATGACAATAATCTCTAACCTGAGGAGACGAATCAGCGCCATTTGCTATGGCTGCATCGGTTTCCTTTACTGCGGTTTTCCAATCTCCGATCTTCCGAGCTTCCCAGCATCGCCGGAGATGCTTCTCCAACGTCTGTAGCCGTTGTAAATCAGCTTGATCCGGACATTGTCCGGAAAAACAAAGATGTCTTCTTGCATTCTCAGCTTCTCCCAATCTAAACCAACAAAGACAGATTTAAAATCAAAAACCTTTTCTTCAATAATCACAATTCTCAATCTTTAAACTTTAAAGGACACAACAAGATTTACCTAATATAGAGTGAAGCAAGTCTTTGGTGAGCTCTTAAGTAAGAAGAATCAAGCCTAACAGCTTCAAGACATTCTTTAACGGCTTCTCCTAACCGTCCTAACGCCGTTAAAGCAGCCGCACGGTTACTTCTATAAGCTGCATTTTCCGGTGACAATGAGATTGCTCTGTCGTAAAGCGAAAGAGCTTCGGTGAAATTTCCTCTTCTATACATTTCGTTCCCTATCCTCTTCACATCCTCCGGATTCTCAGCCGCCGCGTGATTCGCCGCCTTTCCGTTGCTTCCTCCTCCTCCTCCGCCGCTTCGTACGACGTTACCGTGACCGTAGTTTCCGGTTCCTGTGCAGAGTGTCTCTGTTCTGCTTGAAGTCCGAGTCGCCATTCCGGTTTTCAAGATCCGACCCGACGGACAGATGTTGCCGGCCGGTAGAACTCCGGGACTCGGAGACACCGCTGACGTCGCGCCGTTACCGCCACCGGTTCCGGTAGTTGCTGAGTAGAAGCTAGAACCGGAGAAGATCAATGGAGTTCCAGTGGAAGAGGATCTTCTATGACCCGGTTTAAGATTCCGGTTCGTCGGCATTCCGGATCCGGAGCTGGAAATCTCACCGGAGTGACTCTTACCGATCTGAGAAGAAGAAGGTTTACCAGAAGCAGAGCCAGAGGAGCCGGAGCTGCTAGTGGGAGTAGCTGCAGCGGAAGAGGAAGAGGAAGATGAGACACGTGGCATTAACGGAGAAACCGGAGAACCTAGATCGAGTTCTCGGAAATCGGGTTTGTTGACGTCATCATTATCTCGTCTTTGTAAAGACAAAGAATCACGAACTCGACCTGTAATTGAGTCTATTGCTGGTTCTAACGAAAGTCTTCTAGAATGAGACATCCTCGTACTTTTTTGATCTTGCAAAAACCAAACACAAATCTAATGAAGCTTCTTCCTTTTAAGCTTCTTCTTCTCAGAAGTCAGAAACCCAACACCACCGAAGCTTAAAACGATGGACAGAAACAAAGTACTGTCCAGAGAGAGAGAGAAGAAAAAAGACAGATCTCGTGATAAATAGAAAAGGAGGAAGCAAAGAATGAGATGAAATAAATAAAAAACAAATTATTTGTTTTTTTTTTTAAATTCGGTTATTAATCTTGATTAATAAAGATTACAAAATTTCCTTGAGGTTATTATGACATTGA